TTTTTGGAGATCATTTGACGATTTGGCGCAGCAGAGCGTGTATAGCATGTTGGATGTGAAAGAGCTGCGAAGAAATGCTTGCTCTTTTTTTTTTTTTCAAGGGCGCATTAAATGGTATCTGGACGTGGTGATGGTGCTGCTGCCACATCACGTCAACCGAAATGTTCATCGCAGCTAACATCCTACGACAAATACCGGAAACCGCATGCAGTGCGCGGCGGAATTGACGCGAAATCAGTGCATTTCGAGTGGATCAGCAAGGAGCTAGAATGTGGCATCTGCGAGAAAACTATACACAATACAATGGTCGTGCGGGTAAGCGGCGTTCCTAAAGGGAAAAAATTTTTATTTTTATTAGAAAGCAAACCCAGTAATACGTTCGAGTTTAACAATAGAAAAGTTACCTTACGCACGCATCCGATGGTTTTTCTTCTTTTCGCTCTGCTTCGGTAAAATGCCATTCGTTTGAATTTCAGTTACGGGAAATTTAGGGGTGAAATAACATCTGTCAAACCTTTTAGAAGAGGCGAATTCCGGGATTAAAACTGAGCAGACAGACCAAAAATATCACTGAGTACTTGTCGCTACACCCCTCCAGACCCCACTCCAAAAGTGTTCCTTAACACTGCCCTATTCCAGGTAGGACAAACATTATACAAAGCCAGCATTAATCTACGTGAGCAGAGGCCATTACCAGCGCTCACGACTCACATATTACGATATCACACGTTTATAGACATGAAATTCTCGAGTTTCATCGAGAAGCAGAGTGAATTCCCTTCATTTTTGTTGTTTCGGCAAAAGAAAAAGGCAACAATGATTTGCCTTTTCACAAAGGCTGGCACTGATGAGGATCGGAGAGCCCTGTATTTTAACAATATCGAGGGAACCTAATTGGTAATCAAGCGAACTACAACATTTTGGATGTTTCTGCTGCCTTTGTTCACTAATCCACCAGTTCTTTCTACTGCGCATTAGTTTTGCCCTGGATTAATCGACCGTATAGACCATAAACTGAAAAAAATGCGCCTTTTTGTGCGAATTTACAAATACAAAAACGCATTTTGTCAAGATCTGTATGTGCGCGTATTGTGTATATGTGTAGGTGTGTTGTATGTTCATGTATGTTTACGTTTGTGTGTATGTGTGTTTTCAAAGGGAAGCGAACTTTGTCACCCACTTTCAACTCAGCATTGGGGAAAGCTGAAATTGTAGGAGCATATTCCAACACCACGTGCCATTTCCCCACTTTAAGTCAACACTCGTGCGCGCCTGCATCTCACTTATAGGAAATTGTTTTAATTTTTTGTCGGGAAACTATTTCGGGAATCGACAATCATAGGGAACTGTAACTCTGCAGAAGTATTCTCTGTTTATTTATGAGCTAAAGATTCCAAATTCACACAGTTGGCGCCTTGCCAACCCGAAAACTAGCGTCCTTTTCTTTCCGTACGCATGAAAAGGACAAAACACAGATAGCGTGTGTCCAGGTGTTGAGCTGTAAAGCAGCAACCATGCATTCTTTTAACGATTAGACTGCTTCAAGCTTAGCACGTTATCTGAGAGCATATTTCTGAACATCCAACCTATTGAGCATTTTCTAAAGTAGCCTGATTGATGAGATCAGACTGTCAGTTTGAAACTTTACTACACACTGCCATTTGGCAGGAAATAATGAGGGAACCGTGAATTTACGTGAAAATAAGAAGGTTAGGTGTACCCTCTATCCTGTTCTTGCGTCCTTCACAGCCCTGCGCAATTGAAACTTCCCGTGTGAAAAATATGAAAAATTTTGTTTTCCTTTTGCTAGACGTTCTTTTTTTTTTTTGTTTTTCTCGTCTCTCGTTTTTATCTTCTTCACTATTCGCGTACTATTTGATGTATTTCTCTGTTTAGAACTGTATGCATCGATTCTGTGCCGATTGCATCTTGCGAAGAATACACACTGGCGTTCGGAAATGCCCTACTTGTCACAAGGTTCTTCCAAAAAAGGCGCCGGTGAAGAGTGATGAGAACTTCGATGCAATCATCAGGAAGGTGGCTTTTCTACTGAGAATTTCACTTTTCCTTCAATTTTTCTCTATTGGTGCGCTAGGACAGGTCGAATTGAATATTGCAACTCGTATCTCCCTCACCTTCCCTCAAAACAAATTATTGTTGTTTCAGTTTTCTTCATCAGCGGAAAGAAGATGTGTGAAGCGTCCGATCACGGAATCATGCAATTTATGTAAGCTTTCAGTCTTTTCTTGCACTTCTTTGTTTAAAGTGGCCAAGTTTTCCGGCGTTTGGCAGAACATTGTGTCCACATTTTGATGTACTGATGACGTGAAATTAGCCATCTCTAGTCATCTTTTATATTCGCTAAAACACAGCAACACCAGTGGCACTGTAGTTATCCTTGCTCAGTCGTTTTTAGTTGATTTTTGCCAAAAATGGCTTCCTTTGAGTGTAATTTTGTAAATGTGAAGTTTTTAAAAGACTTTCACTGATTTTCTCGAAAAAATTGTGAAAAATTTTGTGTTATTAAACTAGCCTTACCGCTACTGTTTTCATCTGCAGGTTTCACGAAAAAGCGATGTTGCGAGAACAAAACACCTGCGGATTGTTTAACAAATTCAGATCCAGTTCCCCCACCGCCTCTGTTGGAACGAATGACAACGAAGAGTTCAAAATCTGCAAAGGTTTGTTCCTTTTGCTGCATGGCAGCGAATTCAACTAACATTTGATAAATAAATTTGTGTACCATTGCTGTTTCACGTGCTTTATCTGACGGCGCCTTATCGGTTACATGTTTTACCGCTGAAGTCCTTACAAGTTCTATTGGTGGCAGCGAATTCAGCATTATTTCAGTGAAACCGCCGTTTGCAACAGCCATTCTGCATTTATTAAAATAACAGATTTGAATTCCAGGCGAGAAAAGAACTAATTTTCGATGAAGTTGGGGACAACTTTTTTCAAAACTGAACTTATCACATTTTTTTGCTTTCCTTCGTTGATTTATATTATGATTTTTTAGCATGATTCGGCGAGCAGTTCGGTGTCGGAAACGAAACCACCGTTGCTCCCGAGCAATTATTCGGATACGTCTGATCCGCCGCTTAAAATCGACGAGGGTACTTCATCAGATGGTTTGTTTTGCCATTTCGTATTTCTTACTCATTTTTCCAAGCATTATTGAGACTTTCTATTATGATTGATTTTCAAAAATTGGATTGTGTGGGACGTTGGAAACGCTTAAAACGGAGTGAAAAAGCCGAATTTACCAATGAGAAAATTGAAACACCGTGTGAAATACTTGTTTTCTGAATTTCCTAATTTTTTGGCCTTTCTGAAAAATCGAATATTTTTTGCTCGCAACATTTTATTACAGATGGATGTTCGAATCTTCTGCTACCGTCAGCTGCGTCCCCTTCAAGTTATGTTGGAAACAATTCAGGCACATCCACTGATACTGGTAAAAGTAAAACCAAAGTAAGTTTTAAGAAGAGTGTTTTACTTGTTTTTTTACTCACGCTTAGAACAGGTTTTAATTCATGATCTGGTTCCCCATCTGTGAAATTGTTACTTTGACAAATGCCGCATTAGCTACTCTGCTGTCTGTTCCAGTCTCCCGATCCTCTTGACAGAAGCAGTTAGCAAAGCTTTAAACACTTCGGCATGCTCTTGATGTGCACTGACAAGCCAAAATGTGATTTTATCACGGTTTTTGCCGTGTTGGTTGTAGCATTTTGTTTTATTTTTTGTGTTTCTAGACGAAACGACAAGCACGGAATCGCTCCGGAGCGAAGCCGCTCGTTGCTGTGCAAAAATCCAGTGGCGATGGTGGGGCTTTTTGTTTGTTTCTTTCTTTCTTTGCTTTAAATCACATGTGCAGTCCCTAGCAGACACTATAGGAGACGCGCTTGCAGAACGGCTAAATGGAGTAGCTTCAGCGACAACATCAAATACACTCAGAGCGAGTAACAGAAGTGATCGGTCCGCGAAATGTGCAGCCGTGCATCAAAATTCTGGCTCATCGTCGCACGCTGCGACAAGTCAGATTGATTCACATTTAAATGTAAGCTTCAGAGCTACTACTTGCCGATTCTTGGCTTTCACTTGTATCGTCTCCTGCTGCTGTTTTCTTTGATTTGCACTCGTTTTACCGGCAATATTCTTTGGAAGTGTTCGGGAAATATCATTCACTTCGGCTCCGTAGAAACATGGCAGCCCTTGTTAAAAACGATAAAGGCCTCATTTTTGTCTGATTGTTTTTGGATGCTACGAAGTAGTGGCCTCTTGTTCGGTAATATTAGTGAAGGTGAAGAATATAAGCGCACTTTTGCCAAATAGGTCGAAATATAGAAAATCGTAGAAAAAAAAAAAAAAAAATTTTTTTTTGACCATTCCAACCATCTTCAATTATGTGTCCATGGCAGTATAGAAAATAAGACACTGCACTGTGCAGCCAAATGAGCACCGTGCAAAGTACCGCAATGACCGCGAAAATAAATTAGGAAGGATGCGTTGCACGATCTCCTGACGGTCCTTTAACATTATGCAACGCGGTTCCCAGCTAGTGAACTGGAAATTCTTAATGGTTTACAGTGAAAATTTTTGTCCATTTTTGTTCGGTCGGGCACGATAAGGTCAAATTACACAAGAAGGGCGGTGTGATAGACGTATCTACCTTCGATAGTGCCGTATTAATTCCCTAAACGGTCGTGTTTGTTATGCTCACAGATTTTTTTTTTT